GGTGCTGGCAAAGTCTGGGGTGGTTATAAGGAGTGCTGAGTTTGGGGCATCCAGAGGCGAGGCTTCTCACCACAATTTCTGTCTCTACTGGGAGGCATGTACCCAGTTCACTGGAAATACTTGATCAATAGGAAGGAAGACCTGAGCTTCCTGGTAGAATACTTGCACAAGAGAATTCTAAGCCAATCTGGCCCCAGGTCATGCTAAGATACCAGCAACATTTACCCTTAGTGGAACACTTCCTAGGTTCCAGGCACTATGCTACACCCTTTATAAACACTGAGTACTGCACACACACACCCAATCATTAATTCTCCTTGTCCTACTTTCTTTTCTTCCCAGCGCTAACCTCTATCTGATGATCTTGTATATTTTATTTTCTTACTGTATCTCTCCCCAACTAGAATATAAGCTCTGTGAGAATGGGTACGTTGTCTTTCTTATACCTTGGTGTATCCACAGCTCCTAGAACATTAAGCGGGGTATGTAGCAAGTCCCCATTTATGTGTGGATGAATAAATGATAAAACCTGTCAACAATTCAATGGGAGATATGATCGCTCCCATTTTCCAGATGAGGAAGCTAAGGCCTGGAGAGAAAACTGACTTGCTCAAGGCCATAAAACAACCACTGGCAGAGCTATAAATCTGGGTCGAACAATTTCCAAAGTTGGACTTCTTAGACTATATTTCTCTACACCACTTGACATTGATTGGCAAGGCTGGAATTGGTCTTTCCTGGAGTCCCAATCTTCCCAACTCACAGCTCAGTGCTTTCATGTTGGTGGCCTCATGATTTGTTATACATCAACAAAGCACTATCAGCCAGCCTTCCTCTTTCAGAGAGCTCACCTCTGGCTATCTGACCCAAATGTGCTCTGCTAGGTTTGTTGGTGACTCTTACTAATCCTTAAATTCTCAGAGAACCCCTTCTTCCTCCTGGTCTTCTTTCCCTAAATCCACTCTTTTAATGCCCAGAAAAGGAGCAGGCAGTCCTCTAGGGCAGGAAGGAAAGCTGCATTTCTCCTACTGGGCTCTTTTTCAGACTTGAGGTCCCAGCATTGTCGGGTCTTTCCACATAATTGGTCCTTATTCTGCACAGACTGACACCCTGAGAGCCCAGGGCAATCTACCACCCATGAAAAGCTTTTCCCAAGGTGATTTGTGGAGATATGAGTCCTCCCTCCCCACATGCCTCCTCTTTCCTCATTAACCTTTCAGAACCATAATCATCAAGGAAACGGAGGGTGTCTGGTAAGTTTCCCTCCTCATGCCTCTCTTCTAGCTTGTACTGGGGGTTTGTGTCCACCCAAGAGCTCCGAGAAATTCTTGGGCACATTTCAGAGAGACGGCAGGTGGTGTTTGATCACGGGACCCCCCCCCCACCCTATCCCGGACCCCCCCACCACCCTCCCAACCCCATGGGAGGGCTAAGCTGCTTGTAAGCCAGGGTGGCAACAGATCTTTCAAGAGGCTGTTTGAAAATGCTTTATGGCACGTAGGGTCACAAGGCTCTAGCTGAACAAATGGAAAAATTAGTCTACCTTAAAATATCCAAGGCAAGTAATTTCCTATCACCTTGTTTCTTAAATGTACTTAACACCTAGAATCTGGGCTTCCCAAAATATGGATAAGGGTCATCAGTTAAAATGGCAACTTGGAGATAACAATCTTCTGCTTTAACAGTCACTCATAAAATGATGCCATCGGCCCTTCTGTTTGGAATGGTATGGGCTGGGGGAGGGGTAGTCCAATAACATCAGATACGAAGTGTTCTTGAATTTCACAGGCTTGAGGCAGCCTATGGGCAGGACTTTTACCCTGAGTCCACCAAGGCTCAGACTCAGACACTGCTCTCTCCACAAGGGCTTCCCAAGGTCTCACACCTAGGGTTTGCTTTAGTTTTATTTTTTTTTAGATGAAAGTTTGCTTTTTTAGCTCATTTCTCCAAATTTTGAAACTACTTCTTGGCCTGTGAATGGAGTTACTGGTGACAACCACAGCTTATTTTCTCAGTCTGCTTATTTTCTTATATTCTTTGTCCTTTTTGTTCTTCTCTTCCTCTTTCTTGAACCTTTGGCTCTTCTTTTCCTTCCCTTCATTCTCTCCGTTTATTCATTCACTCATCTATTCCATTCCATTCCTTCAATTAAGATTTACTAAGAAATGTGCATGTACCAGGAACTAAGAGTGCTAATTCCTAGCAATAAAGCCCAGTCAGGAATTCTGCCTGCAAAGAGCTTACTCTTGGGGTGAGTGTGCCATACACGTGCATAAGCAGAGGGGAAAGAGCGGAGCACTGTGGGCATGCACAAGACCTGCCCCTAAGAGTTGAAGAAGGCTACATTTGACCTAAGACTGGAAAGATGAACCAGAGTTGGAGAGGGAAGTAAAGGGAAAGAGTGTCCCAAACAGCGCCAGTAGCAGGTACAAAGGCCCTGAGGCATAGGACAATAAAGTTCAGCAAAGGGGCTGAAATTAGTGTTGTTCACTGAAGCATGAGGTGACTAGTGGCAATAGAAATCAGTTAAGGGGCCAGATACTGGAAGGCCTACCCACCATGGCAAGGAGGTTGAACTGGATTTGGAAGGTGATAGAAATGTTGGAACAGCAAGTGACATAACAAATTAAACAACAACAAAAAAGAACAAATGGAGGATTAACCCATTCTTCACCACATACCAAGGAACAGGGGCCTCTGCATTTCCCAAGATGCCTGGTGTCATTATCAAATGAGTCATCTGGCCCTAATGTTGACAACCGGGGGTGGGGGTGGGGGGGAGAATGGCTATGACTCACAGGGATCTGAAAATAAATCAGCCCTATAACTATAGATGCAAATGAGAATAAATGGATTCTCTGGGGCTCACTGCAGTTGGTCTTTTTTGAGGAGGGGAGGCTGGGTACTGAGATACGGGGCCTGCTGAACATTATAGCATCTTCCCTGTACCTTTCGGCGGGCGAATTACTTCACAGACCATGAATATGAGTCACTAAATTCTAAACCTTGGGCAAGAAAACAAAGTTTGGTAAATGTGTCCAGCTACTGGAATAAAGACCCGGAGTGCAAATAAATGAAGAAGTTCAGACTGTGCCAACACACAAGGAGCCCCAGACCTGTGCTTAGTGTGACACGTGCATACACACACACACACACACACACTCAGTCCTGCACACACTCACACATGTATACACACATACTCACATACACACACGCCCTCCCTTTCTTTCCTTGAAATACCAGTTGCAAATGTCGATTCCCATGTCTAAAAGGTGTCAAAATTGAAAGTGACCAAAAGATGAGGCAGAAGTATATTTTGGAAAGTTGGGGAGGTGGATAGCTCATTTAAGGGGGAAAAAAAGAGATAAGGAAATAAAATCAGTCAAGAACCATGAATCCAAATATCATATCTTTTCAAAATGTTCTAATATTTTGTGGATTTATTATGTCTCCAAAATTCCTGTAGTATTTTTATGGGTTTAAGGGAAACTACTAAACACATCTCATTTCATTCTCTAGAAAACCTTGAGGAAGCGACTAAGAAGGTCTGGCCTTTAATTATGAACCAAACACCTAGGTTACAGAACTTAAATCCTTGTAATGGTGCATAAAACCACACCAGAGCCCTGATTAGCTTGTCCAGTGTTAATTAAAACCCTTCTCAGGCATTCTCTCCCACCCCCTACTTCATGACCTGGAATAGTCAAGCCTAATTTTTTCCAAATATATGTAAATCCAAAGGGTTTAAAAAAAAATGTAAAGGCTGATTAAGTGGAGAAGAGGCTATGCAGGAAGACCTCCCAGTTGGTCCTCAGACTGATCCTCTCAAACCAGCAGCAGAAAATCCTCTCTGATCTTTGATCATGGAAGACTTCTCTGTATAACGCAGACTCTTGCGTGCATTTTTTAAAGAGCCAGCATCTTTCAAAATGGCGCCTTCCACGAAACAAGAACTCCCAGAAACAATGAACATCACCATCATTTGTCAAGAAAATTTGGCAACATTTAAAAGACATTTCCGAAGAAAGGACTTCCTCCCTGCCATGGAGTTTTTTTGAGTTGAACTCCAATGGCCATCTCTGTGAGGAAAGCTGCCTCTGGCAAGGAGTTGGAAATGGATCTCTTGTGGCAAAACAGAAATTTTTTCTGGTGGTGGGGGGGAAGAGAATTAAAACTTTGATAGTTTTTCTTCCTTTTCTCAATTGTACTTTTGTTCACAGCTTCAGCTGGGAGAGAGAGAGCACACATTTAGTTTGGAGTTTATGAGTTCATATTTTATAATTAACGTTGCCAACAGGGGAGTTTGATTAATACCACGCAGTGGATTTTGAGCAATGTTCCATACAAATTGCCAAATTTAGCAATAAAATAAATTGGTTATGTGAACGTAATTAGTAAGATGACTACTTAAAATTCAAAACTGAATGCGAATAATTCCAAATCATCTGAGCCACAAATCCATTATTTGTAGAGAAGGGGGAAAACATAGCATTTTGGGTTTTATTTTGCCCTCAACCGCAATGTTATTCACCACCAAGCTGAATATAATGAAACTTCCACAGTGGGTTGTGGCAATATTTTGGAGCAACCCAGAAGCATGCACATACGCGTGCGCACACACACAAAAGGGATGTCATAAAGATAAGAAATGCTAAACTGTGACTTTTCACTGCAAATGTAAAAATCTATAACAGGGGCGCCTGGGTGGCTCAGTGGGTTAAGCCTCTGCCTTCGGCTCAGGTCATGATCTCAGAGTTTTGGGATCAAATCCTGAATCGTGCTCTCTGCTCAGCAGGGAGCCCGCTTCCCCTCTCTCTCTCTGCCTACTTATGATCTCTCTCTCTCTCTCTCTCTGTCAAATAAATAAATAAAATCTTTAAAAAAAAATCTATAACAAATTTCTCAGCAAATGCGGCATTACGTTTTTCTGATGTGTTCCCCATAAACCTCTAAGCACACAATTACATGGCGGAGCTTTTCCCTTTAAATATTCACAGTACCTTATTGTCGCCCTGGACTTCCGCAAGCCTTTGCTGAAGTTCTTTAATTTCTTCTCCCAGATGTTTATTTCGGTCCTGAGAATCTCGCAGTAGTTGTGCAAGATTAGCCTGGAAATGTCAACATATTATGGAATACAATCAGAAACACGGGAGTGGATCAATGTGGGGCTTTGTTGGGCTTGCGGAGGCCGGCACCCCGGCCGAGTGGAGCCATGCAAAGCCCATTAGATAAATGCATCCACGATTGCAAGTGTACACATCACACCATGACAACTGCATGGTGAGGGCAACAGCACTGGCTGTGAACCTCAGCACGGGGATCTCCTTTGTTTCCAGAAGGGCACGAGGACAAGGAATGGAGGGGTCAGTCATATTCGACTTTTTAGAGAAAAAATGTTAAGGGCTCTGTGCTAAAAATCTTGCAAATGGATGTACAGTTCAATTATAAACTTGAGCCATCAATACAGGAGAAAGCTTCATTTCCTTGTTTAGATAGTTTTCTTCCCCTTCAGATAGAACTGGTTTAGTGAGCTTTTCTTTGCTACCTCAATGCCCAGAATTTTGATCACGAGATGAGTTTGCCAGAGAGGGGACGAGGAATGAGCAACAACTTTAGAAATCAGGGTCTGGAGGTAATCCAACAGTCTCGGGCTGGGTTGCTCACCTCCTTATTCCCTTCTTCTGGTCCCGTGGTACCAGGACAGTTCACCTGCCTGACCCAGGTTCATGACATCATCCATTCATAGGCTGTGCCTCCTGCTCAGACCCAGATCCCTCTGGCCCATATGGCCTACTCTCTATGCACCAGCCTCCCCACCTCGAGCCAGCTCCACCTCACATCATCACTGCCCCCATGCCCAGAGCATGTGAGCACCTCTTAACCATGCCCCCACCCCTTCCGCAGGTGCCCTGAGCTTGGAAATGGCTGTCACATGACTGCTTTTCGTGCCACACTGTTCCCCTTTTTGCTAGCTGCTGCTTGCTCTGGTTCTTGCCTTGCTTGTTGCCCTCTTCTCTAACCTCAGCGAGAAGACTGCAAGCGACGGAAAAGCAGAGATGCTGTTCCTCCTTTCCTTGGCGTCCATGTCTGTTGCTTCAGGAAGGGCTTGTGTTCCAGCAAGTGTTTTAAAAACTCATGATGAATAAATGAAGGAAAGAAGGAGGGACAGAAGCAAGCAAGCAATGAGAATATGGCCTGTGGGGAATCATTCAGAAGTAGCTGGAAGGGGGATTTTTAAGATTATTGTGAAGAGTCCCTTCATATTACAGCTGAAGAAACCCAAATGCAGAGGCATTAGGGGACTAGTGTAAGTGTAGTGGCCAAATCTCCAAGCACCTTAATGCTAATACTTTTGGGGGTGCTCCTGGCTGGCTCAGTCAGTACTTTTGACTCTTGATCTCAGGGTCATGAGTTCAAGCCCCACATTGGGTATGGAGCCTACATTAAAAAAAAATATTTTTTTAAATTCTAATACTTTTGGGAATACTCAATGTCAGCTCCTAAAAAAGGAACGAAGGTGGAAAGATAAAAAAGTTAAGCCTTGGTTTGGCTCATCCCTGACTCTGCACTCTGTCTCATCTCCCATGTCCCATCTACTGGGGATTCAGGTTGTCTCTACCTTCAGGTTCTTCCCTACTCTGGCTGGGCACCTCCCAAGTTTACTTCCTTGCTGGTGTCCAAGCATACCAGGCATGCTCCCATCCTGGTGCAGTTGCTCTATATTCTCTCACGGGAATGCTCTCCCACCAGAATGCTCTCCCACCAGAACACCTCTTGGCTCCCTCTCCCTTTCACCTCTTCAAGACTTTGTGCAGAAACCACAGTCTCAACAGGGCCTACCTGAACCACTCAACCTAACACTATCTCGATCTAACACTCAATCTAACACAGCAACCTGCTCGCCTCCACCCTGACCTTCTAAGCCCCTTCCCCTACGCTATTTTTTTCCTTTGTAGCCCATGCCATCTTTTAAGATATCATGTGATTTATTTCATGGCCTCCTGCTTACTACTTATTTCCTGCCTCTCTCTCTCTACAAAAATAGAAGTTCCATGAAGGGCAAGGAATTTTGTTCTCTCTATGATCTACTCCAAGCACCTAGTAGATGCTCCATAAATATTTTCCAAACAAGGGACAATATGTTGAGTCTGGAGATTGTGGTCTCAGCCTAGGGAAGAATATGGAATATTAACAGTATGTACCAACACTGAAGCCAGTGCTGGGCACAGAGTCTTGCATGGAAACCTGACTCATCCCCACTGGCTGGATTTAACCAAGCCCTGTATTCCTCAACAATGCGATCTAATTTTCAACCTTGTATGTGCGAGGTTCATATTTTAGAATAGCTGTATTCTGATTTTCTCAGTTTTCCATTCTTATCAGATAAAATTTGGTGAAGGATGCAGAAAATCAATTCCCATCTTACACTTAAAAAAGCAAAAAAAAAAAAACAAAAAAAAAAAAAAACAAACAAGAGACACTGTGACCAAACGACTATTTCTGGAAGTTTTTAGAAATCAGATCAATTAAGCTGGATCCCTGTTCTGCCACTCACAGGGCTGGGTGACCATGGGTGAAGTACTCGACCTCTTGAGTCTCCCCATCTGAAAAAGCAGCTGCCCACACATATCTCACGTGACCATGTGATACCTAAATTGAATAATGAACACAGGACAACTCCCACAGTACTTGGTATACGGTAGGTGCTGCTTAAAGGGTTAGCTCCTCCTGACTGTGTCCTTCCAGTGGCCCCAACTCAACCACTCAGCGAAGGGCTGGGTAGACACGGCCGAATGCCTCCTTGGACACAATTAGCTCCTTTGTGATCCTGCCCTTTTACTACTCCTTATTCATCCATTTGCTTATACAACAAATATTTATTGAGCACCTACCATGTGTTTTAGACTCTGGATATACAGCACTGAGCAGGACAGACAGAATGCCTTGCCCTTGTACACTCCCATCTGAATAGATGATATTATATTACATTAGTTACATTATGTTGCCATAAAATACAGAATGACCTACTGCTTGAATGATGAGAAAAACAAAGTGGGCAAAGGGAACAAAGTGTGCCAAAGGAAAGGACCACATTTAAACCAAGATTTAAAAAAGCAGAGAGAGCCAGGATGAGCCTTGTGGATGGGAGTGGGGAAGTTCCCGATAAGGGAAAAGGCACCCTGCTTCCCTCACTCCTAACACATCCCAGGATTCTGATTCCCAATTTCCAGTTGGAGAACAGTTCAAGGCCACAAGGACAGGCCGACCCCAGGGTCCAGAGTACAGTGATGATTTAGCTCTTGAATTCCCTTTCCTGGTTTCTCCCCTCTATCTGCCACTCTCCTTCCTTAGCACATGGTAGCACAAGTGGGCTGCCTCTGCTTTCCTTCCACGGAACCCCAGAACACATCCCAGACATGAGCTCAGCTAGCATAATCCCTCCCTCACAGACCAGAGGGACTGGCCCCACGGAGGGGCGGGGAAGCAGCGTCTCAGCACCCCCTCTGCAGGAGACACAGCAAAATTCACCTTCACGGCGCCTGCCTCCTCCTAACCAGCAGAAGGGAGGCTCAGGAACAAATGCTTGTAAGAGTGACAGCGAAGGGGATCAAGAGGACACTTATCAGGACAAGCACTGAGTAATGTATAGAGTTGTGGAATCTCTATTATTCACCGGAAACTAGTATAACATTGCATGTAAACTATACTGGAATTAAAATTAAATTTGAAAAAGAGTACCCGTGGAAACTTAATAAAAGACACGCCCCCCGACCCCGTATCTACAATGTCCTTAACCTTTTCTTTTCTTTCTTTCTTTCTTTTTTTTTTTAAAGATTGCATTTATTTATTTGAGAGAAAGAGTGAGCGACAGAGAGAGAGAGAGCAGGATCAGGGGGAGAGAGAGAGAGAGAGAGAGAAGCAGGCTTCCTGCTGAGTGTAACGGCCAATGGCAAGCTTGATCCCAGGACCCTGGGATCATGACCTGAGCCACAGGCAGACACTTAACTGACTGAACCGCCCAGGTGCCCCAGTCTTTCCTCTTTGAATCAACAGTGGCTTGAGCTCCTCAGGTAGCGGGAAGACCCTGATATTCCGTCACCAGCCTCAGGTCGTAGCTAAACCAGTACAACCAGCTAAACCAGTACCAGTACAAACCAGTATAACCAGATCCATCCGTGGAGAAAGGCTAGTTCTCTACCTCCAACCAGGCACAGAGCATAATTTTTGTAAAATACAATAAAAATCAATCACTAGAAAAGTGAATTTGGGCACCTGGGTGGCTCAGTCAGTTTAGCATCTACCTTTGGCTCGGGTCATGATTTCAGGGTCCTGGAATCGAGTCCCATATTGGGCTCCCTGCTCAGTGAGGAGTCTGCTTCTTTTACTCTCTGTTTTTTCTTTCTCAGTAAATAAATAACATCTTTTAAAAAATGAATTTAAATGGCATCAGGGTAAAACCCCCAAGTGTTTGGTAGAGTCAACAAACATAAAATCATGCTGTCAAATTGTCACAGAAGTTTCCGAACACTTCCTCAATTTCTGTGTTTATCATGGGCCAGAAGCGAGCTGCCTGGCTCCCGGCATGGTCCTGGGGCCTCACTTTGAAAAGCCCCGAGCTTGGAGAGCTGTCAGGTTATTTAGCTATTAGCACAGGGCAGGCACCTGGTATTCACATCACAGGTTCCAGTGCTATGGGAAGCAGAGGACAAGGCTGCTTCTGGAAACAAGGATTTGTGGAGTCAGTGATGTGACTGATGACCATTATTTACTCTGCAGCTGGCTGAACAGAATTCTACCAAAATAAAGCCAGGCATTTCCATAGTAGCCACAGAATGGTGGTCCATTAGGAGCGCAGAGCCTCCATGCTGGGTTTGAGTAAATCTACCCGTGCTTTGAAACCGACCCCACTGTCGGGTACGGTGGGGGAGGCACCCCGCTTCAAAGCGCTCAGCTGTAATTTCACATTTCCCAGGCTGGGTGACTTGTCAACACAGATTTCTTTTCTATTCAGTCTTTTCAGTCCTTCCACCTCCTCAACTCCAAAACAATAACTTCGGGAACTGGAAAATGACTGCTCTGATAGGGTACCTAATTCCTTGACATATAC